GGGATGGAGGGACAGAGGGCTGGAGGGATGGAGGGATGGAGGGAATGGGAAAGGCTTGGCAGAGGGTTGGAGGGATGGAGGGACAGAGGGCTGGAGGGATGGAGGGATGGAGGGAATGGGAAAAGCTCATCGGAGGGCTGAAGGGACAGAAGGGACAGGGCTGGAGGGAAGGATGGGCGGAGGCTCAGCGTAGGGATGGAGGGAAGAAGGGCTGGAGGGAAGGAGGGAATGGGAAAGGCTCGTCGGAGGGCTGGAGGGACGGAGGGGACAGGGATGGAGGGAATGGGAAAAGCTCATCGGAGGGCTGAAGGGACAGAAGGGACAGGGCTGGAGGGAAGGAGGGACGGAGGCTCAGCGTAGGGATGGAGGGAAGAAGGGCTGGAGGGAAGGAGGGAATGGGAAAGGCTCGTCGGAGGGCTGGAGGGACAGAGGGACGGAGCCCGCACTAACCTTGCTCCACTTGTCTCTCTTTCTCTCTCAGCGCCTGCTGCCTGTCGGCTTCTCTGCCTCTCTCCAAACTCCAGCACCCCCCCCCAGTCCGGGATCCCGACCCCCCCACACCTCGGTCCTCCACCCCCCCGCCGGGGCCAGCGGAGGCGGGCCTGCGATGACGCCTCCCCCGCGGAGCGCCCTGATTTGACCGCCCCCTCCCCTCCCCCCGCCGCGTGCCGGGGGGCGCGCCGTGCCCGCCCCCCCCAATGCTCAGCTCAGTGTGCGTCTCCTCCTTCCGCGGGCGCAAGCCGGGCAGCCAGGCGCCAGCCAAGTCATGCGCCAGGGGGGACATGGGCCGGCACGAGGAAAGCGAGAAGATCGTGATTAACGTAGGGGGGGTGCGGCACGAGACCTACCGCAGCACCCTGCAGACCCTGCCCGGCACCCGCCTGGCCTGGCTCACCGAGCCCGACGCCTGCAGCAACTTCGACTACGACCCGGCCGCCGACGAGTTCTTCTTCGACCGCCACCCGCAGGTCTTCGCCTACGTCCTCAACTACTACCGCACCGGCAAGCTGCACTGCCCGGCCGACGTCTGCGGCCCGCTCTTCGAGGAGGAGCTGGCCTTCTGGGGCATCGACGAGACCGACGTGGAGGCTTGCTGCTGGATGAACTACCGGCAGCACCGCGACGCCGAGGAGGCGCTCGACAGCTTCGAGGCCCCCGAGGCCCAGGACGAGGAGGACGCCGCCGGCGACCTCAAGCGGCTCTGCCTGCAGGAGGACAGGCGCCAGGCCGGCTGGTGGCACCGCTGGCAGCCCAAGGTCTGGGCGCTCTTTGAGGACCCGTACTCCTCCAAGATGGCCAGGGTAAGCGCGGGGGGGAAGTGCGCATGCGAGCGGGGCTGGGGCGCGTGGGCTGAGGTCGCGGTCTGCCCGTGCAAGGGGTCGGTGCCCTGCTTGGACGGGGGCGCAAAGGACAGCTTGAGTTGTCATGGGGATAGGGTCGGGGTCAGAGGGAGGGTGCAGGAGGATTGGGCAAAGGGCACCGGGAGCATGCCAGGGCTTGCGTGTGCATGCCAGGGTCAATGTAAGTGTGTGAGGGGATAGTGCAAACGAATAGTAGATGTGGAAGGGCCAGTGTGAGTGTGCGAGGGTATGCATGCCACAACCAATGTGAGTGCATGAGGGAATAGTGCAAGGATCAGTGTGAGTGTGCAAGGGTATGTGTGACATGACCAATGTGTGTGCATGAGGGAATAGTGCAAGTGACTGTTTGAATGTACAAGGGTATGTGTGTCATGGTCAGTGTGAGTGTGTGAGGGGATAGTGGAAGGGTCATTTTGAGTGTGCAAAAGGGTAGTGCAATTTTCAGTGTGAGCGTGCAAGGGTATGTGTGCCACAGTCAATGTGGATGCATGAGGAAATAGTGCAAAGGTCAACATGAGTGTGCAAGGGCATGTGTACCATAACCCAAACGAGTGCACAAGGGAATACTGCAAGTGACAGTTTGAGTGTGCAAGGGTATGTGTGTCATGGCCAGTATGAGTGTGTGAGGGGATAGTGGAAGGGTCATTTTGAGTGTGCAAAAGGGTAATGCAAGTGTCAGCGTAAGAGTGCAAGGGTAGACATGCCAGGGTCAATGAGAGTGTATGAGGGAATAGTGCAATGGTCAGTGTTAGTGTGCAAGGATGTGCACCGGGACAATGTAAGGGTGCGGGGGATAACGCGAGGGTCAGTGTGACCGTGCGAGTGTGTGTGCACCAAAATCAATATGAGTGTGCAGGGGAATAGTGCACAGGTCAATGTGAGCATGCAGCTATGTGTGTACCAAAGCTAGTGTGAATGTGAGGGAATGGTGCAAGTGTCTGTGTGAGCATCTAAGTGTGTGTGTCAAGGTCAGCGTGCGTGTGCAATGCGGTGCATGCAAGGGTTCTTTCAAGTGTGCACAGATGAGTGTGCAAGTGATGTGCCTGCGCGGGCGATGTGGAGTGTGAGTGTGCAAGGGGCTGGGTGTGTGTGAGGCGGGAGAAAGGTGGGTGTGTAAGAGAAGGTGGGGTGGTGGCAAAGAACAGGGGGCACCAGAGGGTGCGTGTGCAAAAAGGAAATAAAGTGAGTGTGCGAGAGCACACGTGGAAGGGACTGACTGTGCGACAGGCAGCAGGCAGGGGCGTGGGGGGGCTCCTAGGCTAATACCTGGGGTGAGGGTCTGGGATCTTCATGGGGGGACCCGACCCCCAGCAGGGGGCGACCTGCCCAGCCCGACCCCTGGGGGGAGACACTCAGCTTACGGCCCATCCTCCCCCTCCTTCCCCCTTCCCCCGCTGCCCCAGCCCCCTGCAGCCTGCGCCCGTCCCCATGCAGCTGCCCCAGGTTCCCCTGCAACCGGGTCCCACCCCCCTGCACCCCCAGCACAGCACAGCCCTGCCCCTGTCCCCCCAGCACAGCCCTGCCCCTGTCCCCCCAGCACAG